ATGTAACTTGTTGATGGTGAATTGGTAACAGGCCTTGAGGTTTCATTAGTTTGCCTGCATGCTTATCCAAATCTTATGCTGTTAGTTCATCATTGATATTGACACTTGCAGGCTCCTTTTGATGCTTCCTCAGTGGACAACATGAGACGGCTTGCAGAGCATGCTGGTATTCCAGGCCATATATACCCTTTAGCAATATTGTGTCACGATGTTATGCCCCCTCCAGCTCAGGTGTTTTTTTATGATCGGTTATCTCTTTTCCTATGTAGTATGATTGATGCATGTTTCTGAGCCAAAATCTGTTGGTAGGTTGAGAAAGAGATTGGGGAGAAAAGAGTGATATCCTTTCACGGAGTTGGATTATCAGTTGCACCCAAAATCAGTTTTCAGGAAGTCACTGCAACTTTAGAAGATCCTGATGAGGTTACTTTGATACTTTTGCTGGTTATTTGACTTCTTTGTTGAACATTAACAAATTTTGCAGGATATGTGTCATGGTAGTCTATAATGGTACCAAAACATATAAAGACATAAAAAAGGGCTGGATTAAGTGGTGGGGTGATAAGGTTTTATATGGTTAGGTGAATAGAACGCTTGTCAAAATTGAAAAAGGTACTGTGGGAAACTATCCACCTTAGAACAAGCAAACATAGGTCCATTCTTTTTATATATTTATCCATGTGAGATATTTCTGCAATTAGATTGATTGTCTATGTCAGATTAGTTAAATTTATAGGAGTAAACAAAATTTCAATTTTTTTTAATATAATTTTATTTTTTGTTATTATTAGTTTTCTATTCTCTTGTGTTTTAGTTTGTGTCAAAAGTTCTTGAACTAGCCATCTAATTTTCAACCGTTGGTGTGCTACTTCAACATTTGTCAATCAAAGCGGTCTGAGCGGAAAGTAAATTTTAGATGCTTTAATTGTGGTTGATTCAGCAGACAACCGAGAGTAGCATTTTAACATTGATTGGGGAAAACAGTAATGTTTGTAGATGGTGAAATATCATATTGGTGGGGCTATGTTTTATGTTTATATGTAGAAGGATGCGTACTTGCAAGCATGTATAGAAATATAATTGTACTGGGAATTACATCAGATAGTGATTTGCACTTTGCAGGCTAAACTTGCTTACACGCAAGCATTGTTTTCCTCTGTGTCCGAGCAGTACAATGTGCTGAAATCTGCAATACATGGCAAACAAGGTCTTAAGGCGTCGACTCCTACTATTTCACTATCTCAACCACGGGAGTAGTTTTCGGTATGTTGTTTTTCAGTGTTAACAGGTATGCCTCGAGGAGTTATTCCTATTTTTTGGTGGTTGATAAAATTTTTCTTGAATTAATTATTTCACGGATTCTAGTGAACAGTGAACCTGATTTCCTGGTACTGAATTTCTTCATAATGAGCAGGCAAAATATCTTCTTTCCAGTGAAAAACATGAAAACCTGAAGCTGAGAGCTGAGAGCCTTCTCTTTGCGCAAAACACACAGAATCAATTACTGGGAACACACTTCATGACCCAAGTTACTAATTTTGTTGTCTTGAGAGAGCATGTTTCGCTTTTGGTTGGGAAAAGTGAAAACGGTTCAGTATCGAATAATCCGAAGTTCGGCAGGTTGATATTCACTGCAGTCATGATCCGCTACATGTATGAAACATATACTATAGCCATATTGAATTTTGTCTGCTCTCCACTGAGTTTTTTTTTTCCTTGCATGATATTGTGATTCAGCTCGAATACAACAGGCGTATTATTAAGTTGTGTGATTTTCAGATGATTGTCAAATGCTTTTTGGATCTTATTCACACATCTTGTGTATAATATTAGGGGCACAATGTTTGATGTAGCATGGAGGTTTAAAGTGTTACGTGTTGAGAGATTTCTCTCTTTCTTTCAGATTTTCAAACTTACTTTTCATCTAGCAGTTAAAGTATCTGGAAATGACTACAGTCTCGTTCCGAAATCATTTTGTCAGTATGTTTAGGGTCAGTTTGGTTGGGATGATTGTAAGTGATATCACACCATTTGCTATCATATCAAGAATATTAAGTTGTTTGGTTGGACAATATTTGGCCCTGAAAATTGAGTAAGGCCCGGATCAACATCCTTTAAGATGTTATTACCATATCCCACAAAATTGGTGGGATGCCTTATCATTATCATAATATCATTAAACACCCAAAATACTCATATTCCTCTTTTCACCGTATTACGCCTTCCCCTTCTTTTCTTCTTCTTCTTCTTCTTCTTCTTCTTCTTCTCATCCCTTTTCATCTTCTTCATCTTNTTTTAAATCTGAGTGCAATTTGGAAGTTGAGGGGTTCCCATTTTCTTTTTTCAATTTCTCAGTGCAATAACTTAATTGCTCCAAGTTTTTTTTAAGAAAAAATCTGAGTGCAATTCGGAAGTTGAGGGGTAAATGCGATGAAATGCAATTTGTTTTGTTTTGGATCTATGAAATGACAACTAACTGTCTAGATTAATCATAGTTATGTTGTGTTAATTATTATATGGTAAATGCGATGTTTAAATTTTTTTATTATGTGGTAACTGTCTAGATTCATGAAGAAAAGTGACTTTTGAATTGGGGCAACATTTGAAAATTTAATTATAAATGAAGGGCAAAAGTGTAATCTCAACTTAAATGTGATAATTACCACTATCAACCAAACAAGTTAATAGAACTCTTCTATCCAAAAGATAACACATTAATTTTTTTATGGGATTTCATCAAGCGCAATCAATAAAAGTAACCAAACTGACCCTTAATTGTTAGATACAGTTATAGATTAGTGTAGGGTAGATAATCTACGGTTAATAACACTGAAGGAATGATTCAGTAACGGGATTGTAGCCATTTCCTATATGGTGATGAGAGAGTTTTGTACATAAATCTGCTGGAGGGTCTTCTTATCTATCTATATATATATAATTACTAGCCAAGCATTTAATAAAATCTCAAAATTTTTCCCTCCAAAAGACGTTACTTTGCATTAATTAATTTACTAGCACGGGACCCGCGCGTTGCGCGGCTTGATGTTAAAAACGACGTAAATGAAAATATTATTTATTATATTTTAAATTAATTTTTTAAATATAATATTAGTAGTGAATGGATTATATTTATTATCACCATTATCATAATAAATAACAACCATCAAACAATAGGGATTTGGGACTTTAGAAACAACAACATATAATTGATTATGGCTATAAAATACCATATATATATATAAATATAATTTCAAATTAAATAAATTTTACTTAAAAAATATTAGTGATATTTGACAGAAAAATGTATTTGTTACATTAATGACATTTTTTGAAACTTTTTTCCAAAAATGTCTCTGTAATAACATAATTTATATCATTTTTGAATAAATAAAGACATTATTTCTATTCCATAGACGATCTGGTATAGAATAATTCAAATAAAAATGTAGAAATATGAGTCATTAAAAAAAAAACTTAAGAAAAAAAATACAAAAATAACTCAATTTCGATACCTATATTTTTCCACTTTTTCTATTTGTAAAAAATAAATTACTTTTTGTAAGATAAGTCTGATGGTGATTATAATGACGTGTAAGATAAATCACATTTTGTAAAGTTGCAAACATGCCAATAATTATCGATGTTCATGTCATAACAAATTACTTATTTTTTACATGTAACTTATGCAAAATGTAATTTAATATAATTTTTAAAAATGTACATTAATAAGAAAAATATATCTAAATTGTATTAGACAAATTATAAAAAGAGTAAAATTCATTTTGATAAATTGAACATTTATTATATATGATAAGAAAAAAGTAGTTGATACATTAAATTTTGTTTATTGCAACAATTTAGTAGCAGTAATATACATATTCTTGTCATTCTCTGAAGAAAAAAAAAACATGGGTTCTAATAATAAAAAATTAACAATAATTAACAAAATATGTTATTTATATTCATACAAAAATATAATTTCATAATTGTGGATCAATAAAGAAATAAAAATGTGTAAAGTCACTTCAGTCACAAACTTTTAGATGACCTCAATTTTAGGTCTATATGAAACAAATGATATCAACTAAGATTAAAATAAATTAAACAAACTGTGTATTTTGGTCTCAAACTATTCAATCAATTAGGACCAAAACCAATATAAAAGATCTCATATATAACAAAAATTCCACTAAATAATTAGATGATAAATATGTATTGTCTTATTCAGTCTTCATGGTCAAAACCATATTGTCACTTTCTCTCTCTCTTATGATTGAGACCTTCTAAATCTTTTTGTTATCATTTCTTAATTTTTTATCTATCACAATATTATTCTGCAATATTATTCTACTTTTCACCCATAAATGAAACTAAATTTTGATCCATGTTTAAACACTAAATCATCTAATTTTTATTTTGTATATAAACTGTAACAGTAAATGTACATCTAAAAGTAATAAAATATAAATATTAAATGTGTATATATATCAAATTATTGTTTTATTATATACTTTCAAGATTTTTGTTTCTTTATATTCTTAGGTTATATTAAGATAACAATCAAGATAATCACCGTCAATGCTTATATCAATAGCCAACACTTATTTTGCATTAAATTTATGAGAATTATAATATAACTTATTAAATGCATGTTTATAGAATTCTTGTAAAATTAATAATAAGAATAAAATATTTAAACTGTAGTATATAACTCTAAAACAATAAAATGTAAAATTATAACTTGTGATATACAATTAAAAAGAAAATAGTTGTTGCATTTGTAGTATATTGTATGAAACTTTATTTGTCGCAATATTTTGATAAAGACGATATATTCTCGTCACACTTATGAAAACAATATTGATATTCGAATAGAAATATTTAACAATAAATTGATCTGCTATACTTTTTTTTTTTCCAGGAATTATAGTTATATAATTATAGATCACTAAAGAAATTAAAAGGATGCAAAATTTATGTACATATGTTTAGATAGCCTCTTCAAGATTTTGACAAAGTAAAATAAATTATACTCCCTCCTATTTTTATTATTTGTCATCCTAGCTTAATCGATCATTTGTTAAATAAATGTCGTTTTGGCTATTTTGTGCATATTTTTCCATTATTACCCTCATGTAACTAATAAATAGACTACGTCTTTTCATATTTACTCTCCATCTTTTCTCAAAACATTAATCTCTATCCTCATTAATGAGGGTTATTATTGACAAAAAAAATATTCTTAATTATTGTACAACTTCTCAAAACGATATTTATTAAAAATAGGAGGAAGTACCAACTAAAAATAAACAAAATTAAACAAACTTTGTATTTTTTGGATCACCACCAATCACACAAAAATCAATACGAATTTTATCTTCAGTCATCCCAATTAAAAACATGAGTTGTACCTATTTGAAATTATGTAACTCTCTCTTTAGTACGTTGATATTTATATTATTTTTTTCAATTTTTCAGAATATCATTTGTCAAATATCTATGTATTTTTTACCAATAAATACAATCAAATTTTAGTGCCAGGTTCGAAAATGTGTTACTTTTCGAATTAAGCATTTGTACAAATATATATTTTTATTGTTTGAAGTATCCACATAGGATTTAACAAATTTTCAAGCCATGAGTATCAGAGTGCAAGTCCCAATGCATAATTATGTATGAACTTAATTATTTACTTAAACAAATGATTATACTCATTGTTTTAATGATATATCATAGTTAGAAATTGATAAAATTTATTTCTGGATAATATAAATATATATATATATATATATATATATATATATAG